TAATATTTGATGTACAGTTATAATAATTATTACGGAAAGAAATAGTCATTGAAATAACACAAAATAAGATAAACATATTTTTAAAGTTAGTTTCCTTGACTTTATTGAAAACAATATCAAGGTTTTTGTAACTTTTAGCATAACAATGATTTAATAAAAGTAAATTATAAGTTAAAAAGCATTTTAATTTACATTATTTAAACATATTTATTTTAAAAATATTTTATTATAATGACAAATTTAACTATTGCTTAAATTTTTAATTATATAATTATGAAAATTAGAATTTTAGTTTATATATTTTCAATAATGATTTTTATAAAATATAATAAAATGTTTATATCAACAAAACATAAATAAATATAAATTTATAAACTAATGTACTTTAAATTCAAAATTTATAGTATATTATTAAGAAATTTATATGATATAATATATTTGATGTAATCGTGTATTGTATATATTAAATGAGATTTAGTTGTTTCACTTCAAATCAATTGTTATTTATTTAGACATTATATATAAACAAAAACTCATTTACATATATCACGTTATGATTGCATATTAAACTAATCAATTTTGTAGTTAATGTATAAAATCAAAATAATTTGATAAATCGTGATTTAAATAGTTTGTATATTGTCTGCAAAAATAAATTTTCAGTTAGAAAAATCTATCTAAATACTAATTTATCATATAATACCAACATTAAAATAAATTAATTGCACGCAATTTCACAAAATTAAAATCATTAAAAATTTAATTAAAATTTAATGTAAATAAAATATAAATTTAAAAATATTATTCTAAAATCATTCATTTTATATATTTAAAATTTAAAAATGCATTATCTAAATAATATAAAAATATAAATTAATTATAAATTTATTTTTTATAAATAATAAAACGTAAACTTATAATATAAGTTATTTTCATATTTAACGATAAGTCTTTAAAATCAAAAATGTTTTTTATTTTATTTTAAATTAATCTAATTTATATCAATTAATAGATATCATTAATATATTTATAACTACAGCATATCAAGTTATATTGTTTAAATAATAAAATATTAATATAGCTAATAGTTTTATTAAACTAAAAACACAATTAAAAAATTAATAATAATAATATTTTATAACAAGTTTAACTATAATTTCTGAAAATAACAAATACCATGCAATAAATACTAAAATTTATATATTTTTAAAAGTAAAATATTAATATTAATACAAAAATATTTATTATATATATTAGTGTTATAACATTTGCTCTAAAACCCCGATTTGTTACGTCACGTATTGCAAGATCTTACTCGTCTTGTGTCAAAAATTCATAAACAATTTTCATAAATTGTTTATATTTAATAAATTATTAACTATAATTAATATTTACTTATATATATATGTAATTTATTATAAAAATTTTTAATGTTTTTGCTATTATTTAAAACAAAACAAAACAATATGTCGGAAGACTGTATCACTTTTGTCGTCTTGTTTTGTATTATTCCCGTCACGTCTTGACTATTGACTACTCTATGGCGTCGTCTTTGTCTCGGTTAAGACAAAGACGTAACAAAATCTTGTAAAATCAAGATCTTGTTTTACACCACTAATACATATATTTACTATATTATAGTACAAAATATATTAAATATATTTATTCAATATACTACATAATAATCAAATGATTAGTTTACTTTAATGATAGTTATATATTTACTTTATATTAAAATATTTAAAAATTATAATAAGTTTGAATATTATTATAAACTTTAACTAAATGTATTATCAATTTATTTTTTAATTTATATCATTATATAAATATATTTAAAACATAAAACATTACAACATAAGTTTAGAAAATTATTAATTTGTATTAAGCATTGAATTTTTAAAAATCACATTTAAATCATAATTGCATTTGTAAAAAAATTCCTATTATTAGATAAAATTTAATAACTTTATAAATATAAATCAACTTGCTAAGTACAGTACATTTTCAAAGCTTATCTCATATAAAAATATTGTTTCACTACACGTACAATATTATTGATTTAATTATAGCACTGAAAATTTTTACTGTATATGTTATACTGTATGAAAACAATGTTTTTGTACTCTATATATACAGTATATACAATATAGTACTGTTATATTTCTATTGCTTAAATTCAATGTCAACCCTATTATATAATACAGTAAATGTCTCGTTAGATTAGACTCATAGACATACATACACTATAGTATTGCTGATACTGTATTTATATTATCAAATGGCTATACATTGGTAGACATATAGCAAATCAATTTTTAATATAAATGAAACAATTTTGTAAATCAATAATAGATTTTAGATGAGATAATAGTGAGATTATAAAATATAAATTATATGTTAATTTAGTTGTAATCAATAACGATGTGAATGTAAAATAAATAATATTTTTTAATTATTGGCAAATTATATATATATATATATTAAAAATTAACATAATTAATAACATAATTGATTAGTGATTACTTATGTTTAGGTAGTGCAATATTATTTTTTAATAATGAATATATTGCAATACTGTATAACATATTGTTGAATATTTCTAAAATATTTTTATATTATAAAATTAAATTAGATTTACATTTCAATTTAGAAATCAAAGAATATTCTTAAGCAATAATATAATAATAATAAGACTAGAATTGAAGGACACGTTTGTTATGTAATCACCAATGAATATGAAAAATTTAATAAAATTTCTTTAGTGAAAAAGCAATTTCATTTAATTATATCTATTATAAATTAATTTTATAAACATTAACTTGCACATTATACAATTAAAATATTTTTATTAAAATGATATTACTGTACTTTATCGACATACTAACTAATTTTACTATAAATTTTCATTGAAAATATAAGCTTGAAATACAAAATTACTTAAAATAAAACATAAGTAGTTTTAAATTAAAACTAATGAATAACTTAATAAAATATTAATTCAAATCCATTAAAAGATATTTTTGTTTCATAAATATTTATAACAATGAAATAAAAAATATTATTTAAATTTATAGATAAAAAATATTTATTTATAAAATTAAAACTATAGCTATTGTGTACTAGAATTGAAATATGATTTCTGTTTTGTTTAAATCAAGGGATGCCTCAAATGATTGATATGTTTGACTCAATCATTAAAGTAAAGCATAAATATTAGGGAAAGGGATGTCGAGATGGCGAGTCTATCGTTATATTTGTTATATTATATATTATATATTATATAACATTACAACTGTATTGAAAGTCACAGTTAACTCTCACTAATATGAATCACCTGATTGTGACCTTGAAATACATGTTATAGTTATGTTGATATCAACCATATATACGGTATGTATGACTAAAACTGGTATTAGAGGTCTAAGGCTCTGTAAATTGAAATCACTTTTATTTTTATTAAATCAATAGATAAAAGCAAATAAAATTTTAAAAACAAAATATTAATTGATGAATATTGTATATAATACTAAAAATACTAAGTATTAATATATATCTTATATAAATACTGTATATATACAGTATAATACTGTTGATATAGTAATAAAAATATTGATGCAGTTTATGCTAGAAATATATTTTGGTAGCAAATGCTATATAAACACATACTATATATAAGTACTGTATATCTATTTATTCTGGGTTTCTATCATTTTAGTTAAACTGGCGCTCAATTATATAATACTTAAGCTTTATATCTACTTATATATCATTGCATAATAATAAATATATAACACAACTAGTAATATACTTTTGTTTAATAATATAACATAATTTATAAATATTTTAATTTAAAATATTTTATATTTCTAGTCATGAATTAATTAGAATTATGACATATTGTTAATAACATGAATAATAAATATATAAATCTATATTTAATAATCTTATTTAAATATACGGTAATATTTTTCCTTAAGTTATAATATGATAACTAAATTAATAATTATTATTTCATTTATAAATATCGATAATATTTTAGTAAAAAATACCCAAAATATAACTTATATGTGTTATAATTCAAGGTCATCCATAGTCACAGTATAATCTATATATAGTGATGTGTTTACCAATTTTTTTTGTTTTTTATTGCTATAAAATACAATTATAGAAAATTTTAATCTATAAATATATAATATATTGATTTATTATTTATTGACTCAATTTATATCTTTAATTTGTGTGATAAATGTCTGATTCATTGTTTTAATAGATTGACCTAATGATGAATTTGCCAAATATATAGATTAATACATTACTATATTGTGTATATAAATGGGTTATACTGTATATGCGGTACCAGAATATTCAGTGTATGAAAACGCTTCGACAGTATTAGACAACATAAACGTATACACAATATATTCATATATATTTGGCAAATGCTCAAATTTAGTACATTTATAAATATTATACTTATAATTTTTAGTTAATAATAATATTAAGTAAACAATATCAGTATAGTTTTATAAATAATAAAATAAAAGTTTAAAAACTAGTTATTAAATCAAATAATATTAACAAATAATTTTTATAATTTAATATTTGAATTATATTTGAAATTTGTTTTATGTGTAAAATAGGATATAATATTAAATCAATTAAGTAAATTAAATATTAATAGATTGATATTAGAAATTACATATTTTTCAATAATAATATGTATATAATTAGATTAAATAAATAATTATCAATTAGTTTTGTTTAAACTAAATATATTTAGTAAGATATATATATACTGTATATATATATATATATATATATATATATATATTTAAAAAATTATTTATTAACATAAAAACACTTGTTTTGGTGATATTTTTGATTAAAATTATAAATGAATGCTAACTGTATTGTATGTCTAATTGTGCACATGTAGGTAATGTATGGACTACTGGGACAGACATACAGAGGGAACTGTATGCGCTGTGCACTTGAAATAGTAATTGTCATATTATTACTGCGCGTGCGTTGAAAATGGTAACCTTGAAGTTGTGAACAACAACTGTGGGGTCTATCGGTGTTTACAGCGTTAGTCTCACTAACAGAGCATTGATTGAAGTGAAGACAACACAACACTCTCTAAACACTACAAACTTAACCAAAAAACCTGTATTTGTCTGCAAAGCGTTGGACTGACTGACAGACAGACAATGCCTCACATGAAACACAACAACACTTATACCAATAGACATGAAGTGTTGGCTGAAGACGATATCGGACATCACCATAACATTGAACACTATCTTAAAGAGAACGACCCATCAGTGACCCGATGCTGTGTACCCACAGTTTGTACGGTCGGTGAGCTGATCCATATGACAAACTTGACAGATGTCATCAAAGTTGTCTGCAATAATGATCACTGCCGTGAGGGACGGTATATGCATAGGAAGTGCTTCGAGGAATGGGAGGAATCGGTTCTTACTTTCCTCAGGTCGACCGGTAGGGCCCGCAGTTGGTCTGAGAAACAGAGACTACAGAATCTATGGACCAAAAAGGGTTACGATTTAGCCTATAAAGTGAGTTATCATTTATTTTATTATATTTTTATATTATAATAATTATAAATATATATTATTTATACACAATATTACGTTATATATAGACTCAGATATGTTATAACATAACACTTGTTTACAAAAAACTTATATAATTATTGCGTAATATTTGTAATAATTTTTATCGTATTTTCACATAAAACATATTTAGATATTTTTATAATATATTTATACAGTCTTATCTACAAATAGGAAATAATATTCAATAATGTTTTTTATTTTTAGTGTTAATAATAATATTTTTTTGCGATATTTTTCTTATCAGACATACTTATAATCACATAACTATATTGACTTTTTTATATATTTATATGAAAATTTTTATTGTATTTAGTAATCATTATTTTTTGTCAAATTATTTTTTATTTTATTTTTAAAACCTTTTTTAGATATATATCATATAAAACTAGAAATATATAAAATGCGGATATTATATAATGCATATTATTATTATTTATTGTATAGTTTTTATATTTGCAAACATTAGATGAGTAGAGAAATCGTTGACTTTTTTTTAAATATCTGTTTTCAAATGATAAATGAGATATTTTATATCATTAAATAAATTTATACCTATTATCATGATTTTTGAAAGAGTAAGAAAAATATCGCATTTGAGTTCATTGTTTTTGTAGATATCTGATATAATAATTTTAATTTTTTTAAATTTTTGCTTAATTGAAATGTTTTAATCTGAAGTATTATTAAAATATACTTATTATTCATATATACCACTGATTGTAAAAAACAGTGAACAGTAAGGTGTGCACCAAAAGTGTCGGCCCATTAGCTCATCTTTACTATAAGCTATGCAATGTATGCATCCATTTACTGTATATTTCTGTATGACTGCAAACATAACATACAAACCATACAGACATCTATGTATTCAATGAGGAGATGTTTAAAGCAGTTATAAACTACAGAGTATAGTATACTGTTATTTGTTATATAACACACACATAACTCATTAGACACTAATAATCATTTTAGATATATTTTTCAATTATAATTGTCTGTATGTTTGTGTCCCGTCATTGCCTTTAGTGAACACTCCGGAAAAATACTGATTATCTAATATAAACATGAAATCCGAGACAACCTTATAATCATATTATTTAAAATAATTAATATATTTCTCTCGTGATATAAATTTTTAATGAGTTGAATGCATTGAAAACAAAAAAGTGAATCATTTTTAGTTATTAAATATTAGTAATCTTTATTGAAAGCCAAATGTCTTAACAAACTTAATAATTTCTATTAAAATAATAATTATAATATTCTTATGAAAAGTCAATTGTCTTATTAAAACAAAAGCTATTAGAAATTAATATATAAAACAAGTATTCATATAAAACTGGTATTAATATATCAAATACAAACATGTTAGCTATTTTAGGTACATTTTATTTAGTCGACACCCAGTTACTCGAAAAGACATTTAGTTGAATCCATTGATATTTAAATGAATTATCATTTTAAATAAAATTGAATCTTTAATTTGTCTGAATATAAAATATAAGTTATACTGTTTGGTATAATTATATGTTATATTATATATATTTAATTAGTTAAGATTGTTGACAATGATTGACATGTTTGTGCTTGTCTTTGATGTATACTAGGCTTGTGGATGTAAGTGTGGAAAGGGTCACTTGAAGAAAGACTTGGATTGGGCCGTACCGGCGGCGGTCAACACTACCATTGAAGACAACAACAATAAGAAACGTAGAAACAGGAAGAAGAAGTCAAACGATAAGCCGACTGTTAATATTAGTAGTCCTGTAGTTAACTGTAACGCCAATGTCAAGAGTCTGGTCCCCATTAATAATACTATTAGTAATAACAACACTAACAACAACCCTACAAATGCAATACATTTGATTCAGTCATCACGTGATTCAATCCGTATGCGCTCATTTTCCATGTCCTCTACCGGTTCCGGTGGTTCATCTGACGGTACATCACCGCCCATATCGACTGCTGGTGATAGTTCGTCGCCAAACTTGAGGAAAGGCTTCTTTTCAGACGCTGTCAAACGAGAACGCCATTCGTCGGGATCGATATTCTCGCGTCGAGCAGATTACTCGTCTTTCAATACCCTTCCGCGACATAAGATTAACTCATATCATATTAAGATGGAAGACGATGGCAATCACGGCAATGACGAGACCCGATGTTTCATATTATCGACGCTTTCGGCCAACAAAATGAACCGAACGGCATGTGTCATATGTTCGGGAACTATGATTATCTTTGATAGATATCCACTAATTGATGGCACATTTTTTCTGTCTCCCCGTCAACACAACAAGTCTGCAGTCCCGGTGCACATTGAAGGACGCGTCCTATTTATGAATGCTGTTTGCATGGGATGTCTAGAAGGTATACAATATTTCGGCCCTCCCTTCCTCTCTCATCTCTCACATAACATTCACTAAAGTTTTGTTGTTTTGAAATTTTATGTGAATTTTATTAATAATATTTGATGTTTTGTGTGAACAGTGTTTTATTATGCTGTCATTGAATACCAGCTATGAATACATTATATTTCCCTATCATTGTATTATTGCTTCACTATTTATGTCACACATAACTCGAGACCACTTTTATATTATTATTATTGTTATGTTTAGGTGTGTTCTGTTTAAGTTGGGTTCAAAATGCAATATTTATTGCAATTGACTTTTGAGCTTTTAGTATAAAAATCCAATTAATACGATATAGTATTCAATATGATATCCAAACTCAAATTAACTGTAATTAAAATACAGATGTTTAGCAATTATAAGTTGTTTGTCAACATTTATTAGAAAACTTATTAATACATATTTATAATGTGTTATATTAGCATTTTTATTGGTAAACAATATAACTAATGTTTAACTATACTGAATAGGTTGGAACCGTCGACTCCATTGCAAGTCATGTAATGTCCGGTGGAATGGATCTCATTTAATATTGGGTTCAATGTATTCATACGATATATTTGCGGGAATCCCGTGTTGTCCAGACCGCCTCCGGTGCAACAATTGTCAGCATTTGGTTATACCTCCCGAACGGCGAATGGAGTTCTTTAGTGATTACAGCCATTCAATGCCGTGCAGTCACTGCGGTATTGTTGACCACCATTTCATCAAACCTTTAGGTCAGACCTATGTCTTATGTGAGTAACATTAAACCCATCATATGGACAGATATAACACATAAATTGATACAAAAAACACTTATGTTATATATAAATATATATACACACACCTAACACTTACATTACATATTACAATACATTATATAATTAGTATAAAATCAATCAAACAATTTATTGGCTAAAAATTTACTGGTATATAAACTGTGCTTTAATTTGACTAATATATACAAAAATTATATTACACTTATTCTATATTATTGCTGTAACTATTACAAATATATATATATATAAATTTATATATATATATGTTAAACAAGCAATTTAGTAAACTTACAAAAAGAGTTACAAATTTTTTCTGTACCATTGAAAATACCTCTAATTCACAAATACGTGTAATTATTATTCAACTGTTTTGACTTAGCTTATAGAGCATATTGATGTTATTTTGATGATTACCGGTATTATTAAATATTAAAGAAAATAATTGTCATTTTATAACAATCGAAAAATAGTTATCCTTAAATATCATTTTATAATTTGATAATCCATTATATCGTTGATATCAATGAAATTATTGTATTAATCTATTTGATGTTTACAATTAGGAAAAAATAGTAAAATCTTTTTTGATATTTTTCATATAATAAGAGTCCAGAAATGAGTTCTCAAATACCAATTTTTGCTGGTATTTTGAGTTAATATGAATTAATATATTACTAATGAAGTTATTGGATATCCTAATATAAGTTAAAATATAGAGAAAAATAATTAAATATAATTTTTGTATCTGATATATAAGTAAAATCTTTTATATTTTTCAATATTTTCTTATTATAATTATTACTATAATTATTATATTATTACAAAATAAAATTATGAGAAAATTTAAACTAAAAAAAGAGTAAAATTAGATGAAAATTTACAAAAATAAACACAATTTTTACACTTATTATTTTCTTATCCCATTATCTATTAATGCTATACATAATTATATATATATATATATATATAGTATGATATATATCAGTGTCTCAGTAATATGTATAGCAAATGCAAATCTTTTTTTAAATTGAAAGTTCAAGAAATTTGAAACGGGTTTTGAGGTCTTAAATATTATCAACTCTTATGACTACAAAAATCTTTTTCAAATAATTAATATATGTGTGTGAAAAACAGTGGTCTCTATTATATACATATTATATATATATTGTATTATTTACATTTATACATGTGTATGGATATATTAAATTAAAATTAATATAAACCAAATTCTTATTATAATTATAATTATTAAATACCACCACAAAGTTATTAGTCTGTAACTTATAACGTATGAGTGTTTGTGAATAAAAAATAATTATAAATTATAAATAAAATATTTTTTTTTGACAAAATCATTTTCAGTCACACAATAAGCAATTCATTACGAAATATTAAACAAATTTGTGTTTTTTGACTTATATTTTGTGTTAAATCAATAACACATTTCTCAGGAATATTAGTGACAAATACTTTGTTTAGTGTTAATAAAAATGTGGAAAAACAACACAGAATTAAAAATTATTATTATAATTATTAAAATAATTTTTGCACGTATTTCTGCATTTTATTGAATTAAAAAATTTAATAACAATAGTAAAGTTTATTAAAATATTATTAGAAATAATTGTTTTTTATATTTTAAGTGTAATTTATTAAACCATATTTAAGTAATATTTGTTTATTATAATAGTAATTATATTATTTCTAAAAATATGATTTAATTGCTATTATTATTATTAATCTATAGAAATACAAGTAACGCATATATAATTACATACAATGCATTTAAATACATGTATATATATATATTTAATTTTAATAGGAGAATAGGGATTGATTTTTCAAATAAATTAGACATTTATTATTGGAGTAGGAGTTGGATAAGGAATGGGTTTGCAATTAGTATTAAAAGTGATGGGAATTATACATAACATATGTATCCAATTAATAAATATATATATATATTAATGTATATTTCCCTTATATTGTGTTAGTTTCCCTCCAATATAATACCCCCTTTAAAACCAGAGCACCTGACAGAGGGGCCAACACATTAGGTTTTGATTGATTGGTTGATTGATTGGGATATGAATTGCTATATTTAATGAACGTTTTTGTTATTCTTCTATTAGGAATATATTTAACAATTAATAAATATTTAATAATTAGTTGATTTTAGTATATATAAAATGAGACAAATTCAATAAATTCATGAATATTATATATAATATTATTACAAATCTAAGAATTGTTTTTATATATTCTATAATATAAATATTTAATTACAATAATTAAAAATAATCATTTATTTTTGTTTAATATGATTATTATTGAAAATATCGTTTTTCACATACATTTTAAAGTGAAAGCAAATAGTTTTAACATAAATGTGAATAATTATATTGATTGCTATTAAATATTGAAAACTAAGATTTGCATACATTTTAATCTTTTTGTAAGTTTATTACTATAATTAATAATAATTATTATTGTTTGTGTTTTTATTATGATTATTATATTTAATTATTATATTAGTGAAAATAAGTTTAATTTATTTGAATAATGAAAAACACATAAACATAAAGAGTATAAACATCTTTTAAAAAATGAATTGAAATTGTCATCAGATTGTGTGGTCAATCAAACTATTGTATTATTTATTGATTGCTTTCTGTAATTCTGAATAATTATATTTAATAAATTAAAAATAGTAAAATTAAATACAAAACTAAAATATAAGCTAAAAATGACTTTAATAATAATTGCCAAAATTACACAACCTTGGTCAATAATGCACATAAAATGACAAACGTGTTAAAACACAATTTACAAATAAGCCATTAATTGTACTGTTTTTTAATACAAAATATACAAACATATTGACCATAAATTAACAATAAAATAATAAAGTTATTAATAACAATTTGTTTCATGACATTATTATTTAATATTAAAAAGCAATTAAAAATGGATAATACATTTATATGATTTTGTATTATTTTTATTATTCATGTTACGCTTTATTTTAGACAAATCACAATAGATTTATATTATGAATAAAATAAAATAACAACACAATTACATAAATATATTTTATTTAAAGATGAAAAACTTGTCAATCATTGGGATCAATGTTTGGATGACTTTATAATTTAAACGATATTTTTTCAGAAAAATAAAGTGATGTTTATTGAAATATATTATTATGTGTTCATTTATATTAATTTAATTTAATAAAATTGAAATATTTTTATATTGATATGAATAGTATGAGAGGTTTATACATAAAAGTAAGTACAGTATTAATATACAAATATATTGCTATACGAGTCGTATATTTATATTACTCTATATAAGTAAACACATCATTAAAGACATCCTTTTTGAAAGTGAATACTTTGAACGATACAAATATTAATGAATTTGTTGGAGAAAATGGTTTGACCTTCAAATTTGTGATTATATCAGAGTATAATAATAATAATAATAATTTAAATTTGTTTAACTAAACATATGGTAATGTATTGGCAATGATTATCGATTTTTGCTTTAAGACCTGAATACTAAATATTTTTATTAATACTAATATATTTTTGAATTGTTTTTCATGATATTGTATATAATTTATACTAATATACAATGTATTCAACAATTTGTAAGCAAATAAGTACTAAAATATCTTAAAATTGGATATTCAAACTCATCGCTCATAAGTGAGTAAAGAGAGAGAGAGAGAGAGAGAGAGAGAGAGAAAGAGAGAGAGCGTTTAGAGTGATTTTATCTCATATTTGGTATTAATGTTGTATTATATTAAGAATATTATACACATTCCTGGTTAGGCATTAATAGGGAGAAAAATTATACTTTTTAATAGTAATTTATCAACAAAATTGTTTTTGAATTTTTTTTCGTTAAAGGGAAGGGCATATTTTGGTCAGGTGTTTGTAAAATATATACTACTATTAAAATATTGGTTATAAATATAATACAATTGTTTGTGAGGAATGTTTGTGCGTTTAACAAAGCTTTAGATTCACGTAAAAAGCAAATCAATTGTAATATTTGTCTCAATTTAACAATTAAATTCAAGTTAAATAATCATTTTACTGTATATTATTATTATTTTAAATAATTTTTATTTAAAATTTGTAGTGTTGACTATATTTACAATAATTTTTGTTATTTAATAAATTATGTATTATATTAAATTCTAGTTTATAAATAAATAAAATTTATTTTTTTGTTATTTAAAAATGAATAACTAAATACTATATAAATGTTGAAATGTATTTATAAAAAAAGATATTTCTAAAGTTTTCATTTTTATTTATTATGAAACAAAATTTACTTTTATAATTTATTATAAATGACAATAAAATTTATATATCAATTTTAATATAGAAATGACTGTCACGTATTAAAACTAGAATTGCCAAAAAAGGGAAATTAGGAAGTTTCTACAAAGTTTCTAAAAATAATTATTTTTTCATTGAGATCTCCATTTTAATTTTTTTATTTTCTTTTTATTAGTTATTTTGTAATACTTGTATAATAAAATTAATAATAATTACTACTGTATATATTAAAGCTAACAAAATTAATACATGTTATAACATATCTTGTAATTTTTCTGAATTTTTAATTGAATTTACACATTGAAATTTATTAATAGTTTTGGACTCTTAATATTAAAGTAAAATTTATATAGATATAGATTTTTTTATTATTTAGAAATTTTCCTAAGAAAATTTAGTAGATATTTTTAATTGCCATCACTAATTAAAACAATGACTTGTATTTTGCATTTGCCATTTTACATAAAATGTGCAAAACTTTCATATATATTCATATATATATATATATATATATATATATATATATATATATATATATATATATATATATATATATATATTTGTAAAAATGAAATAATATATAATTTTATTAAATACTGTACTGTATAATACAGTATTATCAATAGTTATTTAATTTAACAATAAATAGATAATTTGTATGTAAAATAAATTAAATTATAAATTAAAAAATATTTTAAATTAAACCTCAAAATTTATAAAAATAAATTTAATATTATTTATTTTAATACAATATTATATAAATATTTAAAAAATATAAA